TTTTACTACATGCATATGAATATACATACGATATATATACGAGAATAATATTTTTTAATATTTTTGACTGTCTGTCTGTTCATTCGGGTTAATCTCTGAAATGGCTGGACGGATTTCGACGGGCAAGTAGCTGATATACTAAGGAGAAATATAGACTACTTTTATTTCGAAATATATAATATACAAACAAAAAAGTTATGTCCTAAAAACAAATATTCTACGCGGATCAAGTCGTGGGCCACAAGTACTATACAATACTTTTTACTATTTATGTAATGAGTCCCATGTGATAGGGGATGAGTCTAATGACACACGACAGACACAATTCTAGACTCAGCGCTTTTAGTGACAAGATTTCGTAACTGTAAACTCCCCTATTCATATTTAGCTTTAAAAGATCTTGAAAACAACTTCACATTGACGAATCAAACCCGATATTTCTGAGTAGCCGTACCTAGCTAACTACCTAACTCAACCCCCGAAGCCGACACAAAGAGGTTCCTGCCGCGAATGAGCTTGACTAGTCGTTTACCGAGGCTCCAGCTCTATGCAGGAGGAGGAACGGGGTGGTATTTAGTCAGAGTTAGTATTTAGTCAGTTCACTTTGACTGTATGTTTGGTGCGGTGGTTGGGCAACCGGCTGCCGTGCAACGTGTCGCGGGTTCGATTCCCGCACGGAAAAACACTTTGTGTGATTCACAAATTGTTGTTCCGGATCTGGGTGTGATGTGTATGTGAACTTGTATGTTTGTAAACGCACCCACGACACAGGAGATAATCCTAGTGTGGGGCAACGTTTTTTAAAAAAACAAAGAAAGAAAAGAAAGAGTTTGATACTCCCTCTCGCCTAATCCAAGGTGGGAGAAGTCATTGGATGATTTTCAATCCTTACATTTTCGGAAGCATGATAACTGTACATGCATTTTAACACAGATAATAATATACCTCTACAAACACATTACAAGTTCATAATAGAGAAAATGTGTTAATTGAACCTCATGGCAATGAACTACAAACAAACAGTACTTGAAACAATTATTGTTGGATTTCAAACACATACATACATACATAACAACAGAACATACATAACATCACGCCTTTTATCACCGAACACCTAGGCAGAGGTGCACATTACGGCAGTAAATGCCACTTACAATGTAACACCCACTTTTCACTATTTATGTTATGAGTCCCATGTAATAGGGGGTGAGCCTATTGCCATATCCCGGACACATTTCCAGACTCCGTGCCACTACTGAGATTTTTAAAAACCCAGTAAAAATTTGCCCGACCCTGGAATCGAACCCGAGACCTCTTGACCAGTAGTCACACTTGCGCCCACTGGGGTAACGAGGCAGTAAGACATACATACATATTTACATCATATTATACCGTTGTAGTCAACTTGTTGCTCGCGAGCGCGACTCCTAAGTAAAGGATCGTCTAAGTCGGCAAATTATTATTATGATTTTTATTTTTATAGGGGGAATAAAAACAAAAAGAAAATACGGTACATAACAAACATATCATAATTTAAACATAGGTCTTTTGAGACATTTATCGTATATGAAGAAGAGATGTCTAAATTATTCGCGAGTTTAAATAAGACAGTCTCGTTGGCCAAGTGGTCGCAAGTGCGACTGCCGGGCAAGAAGCCTCGGATCGGGCAAATTGTTACTGGGTTTTTAAAAATTTCAGTAGTAGCACAGAGTCTGGAATTGTGTCCGGTATATGGCAATAGGCTCACTCCCTATTACATGGGACTCATAAAATAAATAGTGAAAAGGGGGTTTTACATTGTACAGTGGCATTGACTGCTGTAATGTGCACCTCTGCCTAACCCCATGGTGGTTAAAGACGTAATGTTATGTTTAAATTAGAGTACCTAAAGAGACTTGATTAAGTAATAAATTAAATTACATTTAAACTTTTTCTGAATACGTAAACTTTTCGATTTTTTTAAGTAAAAATTAATTTTAGAATACTATGTCGAAATACTATAACAGTATTCAAATACATTATTATGAATTATAGAATATATCGCAATCGTGATTGATATTTACTTAATTTTAAATGCGAAATGTTTTATTACCTAATTTATCTTCAATAACAAAGCTAAAGCTTAGGATTTTAGTCGAAGAAACGTTTGCTTTTTTATTTTTATTTATTTATAGGGTGTTTTCTTAAAAGGAAACGACACCCCGATTATTGGGTACAAAAAATATCAAAAAAGAACACTTATATAAGACTTAGATTTAAGTTAACCTACTCGCAACCCAATACCCATACTATTAATATTAATAAGAATTGAATACAGTAAATAAAACAGTATAATTTTATGATTTTTAGTACGAAAAAGCAGTAAAAATAAGAATATTACCAAATAAGAATCAAATTAATCGTTGACATTAATTTAAAATTTAATCGAATGCACTTGGAACGCGATCCAATTTTAAATATTAAAAAGTAGTTGGCCATTTCCTCGACATACGAATCTATCAGTCAAAAATGTACCGCTTCCTATTCACCCTTCGCGCCCTTGAATACTGGCCACTTACTTTTTTTACGTACAGAGCAACGCCAACGTGCATTGGTATAAAAACCAGCGGCGCCCAATCGAGAGCAGTCAGTAGCCTTCGAGCAGTCTAACACAGAAGTGCACGATGAGAGTTCTGGTGGGTTCACTACAATAACTTACTAACACTCACTAGTGCTTCTAAATCAAATACGAAAATAAAATTACAAATTAGTGCTTGCGTGAAGTGTCTGTGAATAGTGACGTGACACGAGTGTTACCGATATCGATAGGGATTCCTGGTGATGTTATCGATGTTTTAATTGGATTTGTTTCGCAGATTGTCGCCGCCGTCCTCGCCTGCGCCGCAGCCGCGCCCTCCGGTCTGCTGGGAGCATCTTACGGCCATGGCCTTCTTGGTCACGCCGGTCTTGCGGCAGCCCATGCGGCTCCGTACGCCCTAGCCGCCCCTCTGGCTGTGGCTACCGCCCCCTTGGCTGTAGCCCACGCCGCCCACGTCGCTGCCCCCGTGGCTGTTGCCCACGCCGCTCACGTCGCTGGTCCCGCTCTCCCCACCATCTCTCCCGGAGACCTCGCTGGTGCCGCCATCGACGCCCATGTTGAAGCTGCCGACCATGTCCGCGCCGCCGCTGATGCCGCCCGTGAATACCATGACCAGGCCTCCGAGCTCCACGGACAGGCCATCAACGCCGCTGAAGACCACTCTTGGCAAGCCGTCGACGCTGTGAAGACCGCTGAGGCTCAGTTGGACGGTGCCGCCGCTGGCGCAGCCCCCGTGCTCGCTAAGCAGCTCGCTGGTCACGTCGCCGCTGCCCCCGCCGCTCTCGCGTACGGTGCCGCTCACGGTGTTGCCTACGGTGCCGCCCATGGCGTCGCCTACGGTGCTGCCCCCGCCGTGGCCTACTCCGCGCCTGCGCTCGCTGCCAGCAAGACTGTAGTTAGCCAGTCCCTGTCCCAGTCCCACCCCGCCCCCGTGGTGCACGCTTCCTTCGGCATTGCCCACGCCGCCCCCTATGGTGTAGCCCATGCTGCTGCCCCCGTCGCTTACGCTCATGGACTCCACGGACACGCATGGTAAACTGTGATAAAATTTAGATACCAAAAAAATAATACTCAATGTTTTGGATTTTGTAAATAAATTATATAAAAAAATACAGGCTAAACTGAGGCGAGGATGTGTGAATAAATGAAATAGTAATTTTATACATTTCGTTGTTTCCTTTCATCTCTATCATACATACAGTATTTGCAAATGTTCAAACAATATATTGCTTCAAACTGCTCAGAAGCAACGATTCAGTAAGTCACGAATCTCTTAAAACAATAAAAAAAATCGTTCGAATCGAATCGGTAGTTACTTTGATAATTTAAAACAAATACGAGATAATCGGTGCTATTATTCGAATCCAAATGTCAAGTTCAATTTTTAAGCTGTCGGCCTTAGCACGGTAACATTCAATGGCGTAACTTATCGACATTTTTATTAAATAACATCGATAACTTTATTGATATAGTTTCCCAACACTAAATAACAAAGACAATTTTGATTACTCATTGACAGTGGCTACAAAAAAGGCAAAGACACCGACTTCCTACAGCCAATAATGTCAATAATAACTTTTTAAATACATGAAGGTTTTTATGGTCGCCACGCCTCATTCCAAATGCGTGATTAGTTTTTATGTGTATAATGTAAAGGTATTCAAGGTTAAAAACTAGGATATATTTGACTTCCGCTTGTTGGCGAGTTAAATTAATCATTTATGTAGGTACTTATTTAAACGTTATCTAGAAATAAATCAGAGAAAAATGTGGACAAGAATGGGGTCAATTATTTAAATATAATAGCAAGGTTACAATTAATTATAATTCTTAGTCATGGATTCGTATTTAGAATGCATGGCTGATCAAATACCAGAGACTAGGTTTCTGTGTAATGTCAAATGATTTTGCAAAAAGGTCAGACCTGTTGCATGGGTATGTTTATCTATAGTCTAACTCGTAACTTCGCTCCCATGGTTCGTTTAAAGGTTTAAATAAAGCAAATGAACTCTTCAGCTTTATTATATTATTTACTAGAACTTATGTAGATATAGAAAATAAGGTATATTTGCTTTGACGTAAGTAAATAAAACATTTCCTCGACCGCCATTTCTCTTTTTGCATGGCAAAAATCAATATAGCGATTATTTATTAACCACATATTAAACACCAGAGACTAGGTATAATTTTCCAATTCGAAATATGTCTATATGTTCAAAATTGTTTAATTATTATCATTGTTTAAATAATTAATTAATTTTGACCGCATGCAAACGTGTTGTCAAGGACACGGACAAACGCATAAAAAACTACGTTTAAAAAATAATATAAAGGCGTGCGTATATGAATGTTATGCAATAATGCTTGTATAAAATGTGAAGAAAAGATTATAATCTAAGATGTCCCTGGTTGAGTTTAGATTAAAAGCAGAAACTTTGAATTAAATACATCTAAAATAATATAAACTAAATTTAATTGGGTACCAAGCCAACTATAAAAAATCCACATGACTAAATCAAAGATGGCGCAATCTGTCAAAACATTCCCGCCAATATTTGACATTTCAATACTAAAAAATTGATCTAAGTTTATTGCCATTTCAGTAAAGGCAAACAAATATTATTCTAGCCAGATGAATTACAAAGCTATTTTATCTGTGGACCCTCCACCACGGTTTTGACTTAAGACTGCAATAAATCGACTGGACTAATTTAAAAATATCATTACAAACATAGGTAGAGAAATCTTCTAACTGAAGTTTTAGACAAAAAGGTAGTCAAAAGTAAATAAATAAATGGTTGGAAAGAAAATTTCATCATTATCATTAAGACTTCGTGTTTCAATTGCTGGATTTTTTTTAAGTGGTGATAATTTATTTATTTCAACTTCATACAACAAGTGTGTACAGGTGGACTTAATGCCTTGGGCATTGTCTCCCAGTCAACCTTTAAGCAGTGCAGAGATGAAAGTAGCAGGTGATTTAAACCTTTATAAATAGGCAATGTACCAGTGTAATAAATAACAAATCTCACAATCAGAATATTCAATAAACACTAAACATTTAGGTATATTTGAAAACTTATACATACTTACATATAACAATAATTATGTATACAATATTAAAGTAAATATATAAATAAAAAATAATGAATATATATATAGAAATATATATGTACATTATAAAATATAATACAAAATATTAAATTAAAAGAGGTTTAGGTTTGAGATGAATCTACCAATTGATAATCATCGTATGACTGCTCCCGCCTGGGTGAGGCGGGAAGGAGTGTCAAACTCATACTGACTAAAAACCACCACGTTCCTTCTCCTGCGCTTCGAACCGGAGCCCCGGTAACCCGTTAGGTTCTCTGCGACATTGCTGGACAATGGGTATCTGCTACAACAGATCTCCTCGTCAGGCAGGCCGGTTGGAGAACGTAGATTAAAAGCATCGAGATAAGTTGCTTGATCTCTGTTAAATATGTACATAATCACATATTCCTACGACACCCTGGGGAAGAGTAGGGATGGCGACTTATGTAGTCCACACTACTGTCAGCACACATAGATAATAGATTAGAGAATAGATTAGAGTATTTACTAAATAACTAAGTAAATAGTTATAAAGAAAATGTATCACTATCATACAGAAATAGAGTCAAGCTTCCCACAACAATTAGATGAGGTTATGAAACTGCTCCAAGTGTGCCAACTAAACAGATATAAATTAAACTAAATGGTAAATGTTGCCACGTAAGGACGCGTGCGTACTGGACTACTGGCAAGTGAAGTAATAATGTTGTAAGTTCAAGATATGAGGCACAAAGAGATGCAAATGTTTATCTAATGTCATCATAACATAACATCACGCCTTTTATCCCCGAAGGCGCAGGCAGAGGTGCACATTACGGCACTTAATGCCACTGCCCAATGTACACTTTTCACTATTATGTTATGAGTCCTAAGTAATAGGGGGTGAGTCTATTGCCATATACTAGACACATTTCTAAACTCTGTGCTACTACTGAGATGTTTTAAAAACCCAGTAATACTTTGCCCGACATGGTAACAAACCCTAGACCTCTTGACCTACTTATCCTCGGTTAAGAGTACTTATAATTTAGCCCTTCTTTAATATATCGTAGTACTTGGCGTTCCATAGTCTCTGCCCACAGTCATGGCAGACAGGCGTAAGGCTATGTACGTACGTATCTTTTATGTAATGACGGATCATCTGATGGTAAGCAAACAATGTCGCCTATGGACGCCGAATTTAAACCCTAGACAAAAGCAACAAATTGTGTGGAAAAGTGTGAGAGAGCCATGCTTCGGTACGAATGGGCTGGCTCGACCGGAGTGATACCACGGCCGAGCAGAAAACTGATGTGAAACAACGCTTGCGTTGTGTTTTGTCGTGTGAGTGAGGTTACCGGAGCCCCAATTAGGCATCTTTAACAATCCTCAAATTCCTAATCCCCAAAAGGCCGGTAACGCACTTGTAACACCTCTGGTATTCCACGGCGAAGCCGATTGCTTACCATCCGTCTGCTCGTTTACCAGCTTATGCCACAAAAATCATTTTTTTTATATAAAATTATTAAAATGGATGCAGTTGTTCGTCCATCAACCACTCAAACATATCACCATTTAATTTAATAATAGAATTGCAACAACGCTTTTACCACATAACATAACATCACGCCTTTTATCCTCGAAGGGGTAGGCAGAGGTGCACATTATACGACTGTACAATGTAACACCCACTTTTCACTATTTATGTTATGAGTCCCATGTAATAGGGGGTGAGTCTATTGCCATATACCGGGCACAGTTCCAGACTCCGTGCTACTACTGAGAATTTTTTTTAAAAACCCAGTAATACTATGCTCGACCCGGGAATCGAACCCGAGACCCCTTGCTCGGCAGTCACAATTGCGACCACTCGACAAACGAGGCAGTCGCTTTTACCACATAACCACTAAAATAGGTAAAAAGATAAAAATGTCAAATAAAATCTAGATACTTAGGTTGCACTAAGTCAGTCTAGTCTAGTCACGTCTTTACCTACATTCTAGTCTAGCAAACCTAAGTAATATCCTAGGTAATAGACGGCCATATTAAATTGTTACGACAACAATCGAACTGCTTATACTTAGTATTGTAAGTTGTGCTTTAATATTTAAGCCCGTAATGTAGTATTACGTCGTTTGACGTTTGACATTAAACTGTAAGAAATAAACATATATTTTTTTAATGTTGCCTTCAGTTTGTATTGTCTCCTATGTCGTGGGTGCATTTACAAGCATACAATTTCACATACACATCACACCGATACAGAATGTTATTTGGTTAAACGCTGTTTCCATCGACAGTGTATTATTTTAATAAAAATAGATTATAACGTTAATAGTCAAAATTAAGCACCATATTTAGGGTTTCATAACATAACATCACGGCTTTTATCCCCGAAAGGGTAGGCAGAGGTGTACATTGGGCCACTGTACAATGTAACACCTACTTTTCACTATTTATGTTATGATTCCCATGTAATAAGTGGTGAGCCTATTGCCGTATACCGGGCACAATTCCAGACTCCGTGCTACTACTGAGAATTTTTTTAAAACCCAGTAATACTTCGCTCTACCCGAGATTCGAACCCGAGACCCCTTGCCCGGCACTAACACTTTTGACAACTCGGCCAACGAGCCAGTCAGGTTCCATACAAAACTCGTCAAACAAGCAGATGTATCACTTGATACTATGACGCCTACGGACACCCAAAACCTAGAGGAGTTACAAATATTATTTGAGGATTCCAAGCAGAAATTGTTTTTGACTTATGAACGAGGTGGTGTTTAGTCAGAGTCTAACACTCTCGCATCACCCAAGACATTGAATGATTTTGTTTCAAAAAATATAATAATACTAGCTGTTACCCACAACTTCGTTTGCGTGAAATTATTCATATTTATTGTTAATTTATACTTTTTTGACGCGACAACGTGTTGATTGGCGAGGCGTATTTGAGAGCTAGTATGAAACGGAACGTTTATTGTCTACTCAAGATGGCGACTGCGGTCTGTCAGTGTCATTAAAATGAATTAATAAAACGAATTAATCTCCGTAATCCGAATTTTGTGGATATATAAGTTGTCGACTCGAAAT